GAGGCATCGGTGACGATGGCTAAGGGTGCTCGTGGGTCAGGGCGTGCTAACAGAGTCGCTTTAACTATGCTTTCTTTACTTTCCTCAAATGATTTTTCTAGTTCGGTTGTCCAATTGATTGGTGTGGTGGCCTTCAGAGACGTCCCTGAGAGGAGGCAATTTAAAGGTGCCTGTACTCTAGCTGCGTTAGGTACAAATCGGCGGTAGAAGTTCAACATGCCAAGATATCTGCGGAGTTCTTTTATGTTCTTCGGAAGTGGATAACTCAAAATGGCACTGACTTTATCTGGTGTTGGCTTCGTTCCTTCGGCGGTTACAATAAAGGCCAAGAACTCCACTTCAGGTGCTCCAAAAATTGATTTTGAGCTGTTGATTAGCACACCATATTCCTTGAGGCGCTCGAAGACAGATCGTAAGTGTCGCTCGTGATCTTCTATGTTTTTAGATGCTACTAAAATTTCATCAAGATAAGGAAATGCAAAATCACAACCTCTTAGAATTTCGTCCATAAAACGTTGGAATGTTTGTGCCGAATTGCACATCCCAAAGCCCATATAAGGAAACTCGAACAGACCAAACGGAGTTGCAATGGCAGTTTTAGGTACATCCTCAGGTGCTACTGGTATTTGGTTATAAGCACGTACCAGATCTATTTTGCTGAAGATGGTACAGCCAAAGAGATTGTGTGAGAAATCTCCGATGTGTCGAATTGGATAGCGGTCGGGTATCGTGCGTGCATTTAACGCCCGATAGTCACCGCATGGACGCCACGTGTTGTCCTTCTTTGGGATGAGATGCAGAGGTGACGACCACGAGCTGTCGGAGGGTCTAGCAATACCTAATCTTACCATCTCTTCAAACTCTTCTTTTGCGATGCGCAGACGGTCAGGTGCTAGTCGGCGTGGACGGCAGGTGACAGGTGGTCCAGACGTGGTGCGGATGTAGTGCACGGTGTTGTGTTTCACCTCACGCGCAGCGTGACAGCCTGCTGGGCGCGTGATCTCCGGGTACTGTGTTAGCAGATCACAGAAGCGTGAAATGCCTGTAAATGTTTTGATTTGGTATAAAACGGGTAATGCAACAGGAGATGCTTTAGCGACGAGAGAGGTTGTATTGTCTACTAACTTATGGTGCCTAGCATCCACAAGTAAATTATAAAACGATAAAAAGTCTATTCCTATAATTGGTTTCGTAACATTATCTATTACAAAACGCCAATTAAAAGCACGGCGTAGTCCGAAGTCCAGCACTAAATTCACCCAGCCGTAAGTAGCAATGGTAGTCCCATTTGCTGCAAAAAGTTCATAGTTAGTCTTTAAAAGGCGCTTACTGCGTAGCATGCCAAGCGGATATACACACAGATCTGACCCGGTGTCCACTAAATAACACACTTTCGTCTTAATGTCCGTAACAAACAAGCGGCCGGAAGTATGGCAGTCGTTAGCCGCTGTCACTGACTGCCTTTGTTGTTTCCCGGTTGAGGACCGGAGAACTTACACGGCGATCTATACTTGTTAGCGGAGCTTCCGAACTTCCACTGATACCAGCACTGGTCGTGGGTGGAGGCAGGACGGCTACGTGAACGTTTACGGTAACTAGAAGTACGCCTTCGTGATCTTGAACGCGCACGATGTATATATAGTCAGTGAAGCTACTTGACGAGATAGGTCATCTAAGCGACGTCTCAAATCGTCAAACTCAGATGGCGCTGCGATCGTCGATGTTGAAGCCACGTGTTGCTCCTGCGGCGGGAACATGACCTCGTTGACCTTGTCCGCCAATTGTGCCACGGCGTCTAAACTGGTACCTGTCTGCGTTGCGATAATAGCCTGGATGTGATTAGGCAATCGGTTTGTCAAAAGTGATCTTAGGAATTCGTCTGGAACGTCGTTACCCGCTAAATTTCTTAGATGCCGTAAGAACTGGGACGGTTTCCGGTCTCCCAATTCTTCGTGCGCCAATAGTTGTCTAACCCGTTGTTCTTGGGAATGCTGATAATCTGGTTATAAGCTCGGTCTTAATTTTTTCATATTTGTTTTCAGACGGCGGGTTAGTAATTACGTCCTTCACCTCCTTTACATATCTATAGTCTAAATTGGAGATCACATGATTAAACTTCGTATTATCTGCAGTAATATTTGCCAGTTGAAATTGTCCTTCTAATTGTGCGAACCACAACGCCGGTTCGTCCGGCCAAAATGGCGGTGCTTTTACACCGACGCGGCATACACTCGATTCCGGCGGCGTCGGTGCCGATGCGTCAAATTTGCTATTGTTCATTTCGAAAATGGCGAATAGCGAAATAAAAGTCTTAGCACTGTCTTTACACTCGCGCGCGCGGGGTCACCAAATATATGTGGCAGATGGCGAATTAAACCACACATATACAGTTAATAGTTTATTGAAGGACACGTATAACAATAAATCAAACAACAATAATCGTATCGCGTAGTCGTGAACGGGGCGCAAGACGGGCAGCCTCTCGGCGTCGCGTAGCTAAACCGACTGACTAGCTGGAGAAAACCGAGTGCCCCTTGTAGCTGCGTTCGCGCCGCCGACCGTTTACGATAACGCCCGAGGCGGAGCGCGTCGTTTCTCCACACCCTCAATCAACCTCTTTATTTCCGATAAATCAATTGGATTAAAGAAGAAAGAGTTGAGCAGGTGATTGGAATCCTAACTGAAGCACTTAATTTGACCTCTGAGGTTGATAACTTAGACAGGATTTGATCAGCTAATTTTGGACCGGAGGAGACAAAATGTCTATTTCAGAAATTTAATGAGACTTAGTAAGCTGAAGTGCCAATGGACCGGACATATAGCTCGAAGAATCGACAACACGGGGAAAAAGGTTCTCGAGTGGCAGCCTCGACCGGTAGGCAAAGTGTGGGGCAACACCCCACTTGATGGTGTGACAACCCGGTAAGACGAGCAGGAAGTCGATGGATGCAGGTGGCTCAGAACTGTGCTTGGTGGCATAGCTTGGGGGAGGCCTATGTTCAGCAGTGGACCTGTGAAGGGCTGTAATGATGATGGTGATGATGAATGGAGATTTGTTGTTGACATCACTTTTCAAAAGTTCCTCAGAATCTTTACCCTTTCGGGGGACCTCACAAATGTTTATTTTATTACCTGCCTAATTATTTTAGGATTCCGCTTATGGTGTTTTCGCTCTCCATTCTCGTGCTCATCCTTGAGTCGGTGCAAAAGGTCATTACAAAAGTTGCGATCGCGTTTGTAGGTCAGATTAAACATGACGTCAGTGGGATTCGCACGGGCCTGACTGAGCAATTGGTCTCTTTGTCGCATACATTTCGTCAGTCCGAGAGTAATCCAGGGTTTCATGTTGTATTTAGTGCGACTCAATTTAACTTTACTAGTATGTTTACCAACAGTTGATTGGTAATCTGATCAAAATTAAAAGCGGCCTCGTTGACATCTTCACATCCAGTTACCTTCGACCAGTTCATACCGCAAATTTCCGAATCAATTGCGCCGATATCTACAAAATTTCTGTACCTGTTTTTCGATTTAGATTTGCTTTCAGCAAAGCTCACACCTACCATAGGCAATCAGTAAAGGAGCATACAGCTCTTTTACTGATTGCCTACCGCCCGTGCCCGCTTTTTACGTGGTAGAGCCATGCTGCAGTTATATTAGATGTATAGTTGTAGCACGAATGGGTCGGCTCGACCGGGGAAGGACCACGCTCTTGCAGAATACCAACGTAAAATAGTAGCTTAATGCTGCTGTATTTCGTATGGTGAGTGTAGAGAACCGGAGACCCTTTTTACTGGAAACGAGGCATTCCATCTTAGTCCTCACGGGTGACAACACATCTGCATTTTGATTCGTAATCGAGGATAGATGTAGATGTCTATGGGCCACAGCAACCACTTACCATCAGGTGGACTGTGTGCTCGATTGTCACCCTATCCTATAAAAAAAAAAAAAAAAAAAAAAAAAAAAAAAAGCTGAAATAACATCTTTGGTTTTAATGTTAATTTAGTGTTAAGTTAAAATGTGCCGTGATTACGACGAGATTAAGCGTAGTAACGTACATCTGGATATATTCGTTAGTATCCAGGTTAGATTTGAAAGAAATTTACGTGTTTCTCTTAAAATTTAATGTATTTGTTATCTGTTTTATTTTTGCTAAGACTAAGGTTATACTGCAGTTATATTATTATGCTGTGTACACTTTTTGGATTGTAGCTTAGATCAACGCAAATATAACTACTGTCTGTTTGTGTACCTTATTCAATAAAATAAAATTAATAATAAAATAAAATGAAAATGTGGTCTATGCATGTATCTCCCCTAGTAGGCTCTGAAATGGCCGACAACAACCCAGTGGGAAGCCATTAGGCATAAGTAATCAGATAGTACTTGTAAATCATTGTCATTAGCTAACAGATTGATATTTACGTCAGCCGTCACCATTACACAAGGCCTATCCTGTAAATTGGGAAGTTTACAGTCCAAAGATTGTAGAGAGTCTTTTAAGTTGTGAAATGAGGGAGAGCGGTATATGCATAGTAAAGACAATGAGTTATCCGAGTCGACCCTAAGGCAGTTTGCCTCATCAAAGGTGGGCTCCTGCACAGAGGGCATCCACTTATACAACCTAATATAAACAACAACTCTCCCACTCTTATTGATATACTTGTTAGTATGAAAGGCCTTATAGCCGGCTATTTGTTACTATACTGTATTATTTGTATAAGCAAAGCAGACTAATTAGGTGTATTGTCTTCGTGTAGAAATGTGGATTGGTTACACTCATGGTCTTAGGAGAAACGAGGTGCCGGTGAATTTCAGCAGCACTTCGAATGGTACGAGCTGGACTACCATTGTGCTTTCGGATATGAATATTTCTATTTTTGATCCAGCAGTACCTATAAACCGCTTCTCTTGATCGAGTTCTAACATCCCAAAACAACTGAACGCTGTTCAGACATCACTAATCTAAATATCTCAACACATGTGCCATCGGAAGCTCATAAGTCAGTCAGATTTTGTCTTCCTGAGCGCAATAAGCCGGCAATATATAAGAGGCCTGTAAAAGCTTTGAGTTCTGTCATGCTACATTCCTTCATATAGGCATGCTTCGACAAATCCTTACACGACGCCATTTTGCGTCTAATACGTGTATTTGTGTAAGTCATAATTTTTTGCAATATACAATCACTGAAGAACAAGCCCCAGCATTCCAACTCAGAAGTAGCAAACTTAGCTTCTCGTGTCACACCTGGTAACTGTGTGATTATATTTTCTGCCGTTGTCCTCACATTGCGCCGAGAAGGTGTTTTAAACCAAACTGTTCCATCCTTACCAAGATATTGTAGGCGTACTTCACGCTGTAAAGATGTTTCTGGCACTTGTTGCAGCGAAGACGCGCTGGATTGCAACTCCATTCTAACTTCACTCAGCGGGACATTAGTATCGCTTGCCTGACTACAAACACTCACGTGATCCTCTTCATCCGCGTGATCGTTATCAGAAAAAAAATCGTCTGAGTCAGATTCTTCAAGAATTGACAAAATTTGTTGAATATCTTGCTCCATGTTACCTAAAAAGAGGAAATAAAATATTACTTATAACAAATATTAACATAAAACGCAAAAACAACTCAAATTATTACCATCTAACAAAATTTATTAATAAAAAATCAAAAATTAAAAAAGGCACGAAACTGTTACGTTAATTGTGACTTTTAGATAATTATGCACGTGTAGCTCTAAGCATATCTGTCACCCGACTGCTATCTGTTTAAAAACGCATAGAACATATCGGTGACGCCAGCTACTGAGAAGAACGACAACGTTGCACGCGTACTTACAAAAATATATGCATTTTAAAACGCGCATGGTCATTTTGACCCAACCTCAATGACGCCGGGTTAAGTATGTTTGATTTGCGTCCAATGTAGTGAAGGTATCTGAACAGACGGTGACATATATGCACCACCAGAGTGTTCAATTCAAATTCATTGGCGTCTATAGAAACTTTCGATTGCTCATGCTAATGCATTGGCAGCAACGAGCACCAGCATTCCTTTGATCCTGCTGAACTCGCTTCGTTGAAAAACGAACGATACTTGAAAAGGCTTACCCATTTTACAAGAGTTAAAACATGACTTCGATAATGGTAAAATTGTTTCTTATTTTATTTTATTGAACATACAATTGTTACCCCATACCCCATATTTGGAACTTGCTTCATGTTTTGTGCGTAAGCTTTAGTTTTTCGATTTTATTTTATAATTATTGCGATAAAAATAGATACTTTCAACGTGATGCTTAAGTATTCTCTAACAAATACTTCTATAAATCTGAATTTGAAATTCTATAAAATGAAATTAATATCTGCCACCTTTTCAGCCTGGTAACTATGAGGCATTCTATGAGGAGGTCGTTTTTTAACAGAGGACTTTTGATGGCATGTAATGAATGAATGAATGAATGTCTCAATGTTAAAGAGTTCCAAGTGTAACTTAGATATTTCCATTTTAATACAATACTTGCAAGTAGAACTCCCTGCCTAATGAGGAGTCCGTCTAGGCATGTATCACCCTCTTACCTATTTCTGCTACGAAATAGCAAAGCGTGCACAGCTTTATTCCACTCTGAAGGGTGGGTAGTGAGACAATATAGTTACAGGATGTGAGACGTTCCATCATAGTCGTCGGAGGTGACAACGTATCTGTAGCTATATTTGTTATAAGTCCGTTTCAAGTGTTTATTTATTATCTTTTCATAAGGTGAACAGTAAGATGGTTTATCACTTTTGTTTTTAAAAAAAAATATCCGAAAATGCAATTGCCTCTTTTTTGCCTTTTCCCTTGAAATTAATTTGAAAAAGTACCAGCTTTCACTGTGAATATCCACTTTTCTGCAAACAATTCTTTCTGTTTATTATTCAATGAGGCTTGAAAAATGCTAAACTTAACTCACAATAACTAGTGATGGGTTGCAACATTTCATATCGTAAAATTTCTAGGTTAAATGTGTAGTATTCGCATAAATAAAATAAGAAACCACTTTATTTAAATTAAATATTCATTTCGTAACATTTTACATGAAAGTGTGTTCTCAGCGGAATGTTGTCTGCTGAAAGTGATATTTGAATGCTAATATAAAATAGGCATGAAAATCAGATACGTAAAATATTACGCATTTTAGGTTTGGACGCAACAAAATATTATTGCCGTAATTTATCCTCTTTATAAGTGTCTTCAAAATATTTTAATGTTAACCCTTGACGATAAAATTACCAATTATAAGTGATATATAATTAGAAATTATATAAATAAATTAGCATTTAACTTTATAAAGATTTTATATAAGGATTTCATGTTTCGTTTTAAGTTGATAAAATATTTGTATTATAGTCCCTAAAGTTAACCATTTTCATATGTATGAGATCCACCACCCTATCTCAGGTCTTGGATATCGTAAGAGATGGTGACTATGAGAAAGGCCAGAAAAATCTAATTTTACCATCTAGCTTACATCAAATGTTTATATGTGTTAGAGCAACGCTGCAGCTGTATTATGGATTTAGGACGAATAAGTCGGCTCGACCGGGGAGGGACCACGCTCTCATAGAATACCAACGTAAAACAGTAGCTTAATTCATAATGCATGCTGTGTTTTATAAGGTAAGTGTTAAGAACCGGATACCCATTTTACTGGAATCGATGCATTCCAACTTAGTCCTCAAGGGTGACATATATGCGTTTTGATTTTTAATCGAGGTTAAATATGATGTCTATGGGCCACAGCATCTACTTATTATCAGGTTGACTGTGTGTTCGTTTGTCACCATTATTCTAGAAAATAAAACTAAAAATAACTATACCAGTATCAGTCAGCAGCGTTCAAGTCGCGAGGCTTCTGGTACTGCGGTCGTCAATACCCCTACCAACTGTGGCGGTTAATGTCCACAGCAAACCACGAGACGAGGAAATCCTGCCTACAACAGAAGAGGCCAATGTTCAACAGTGAACTGTTACAGGTTGATAAAGAAGAAGAAAAAGATATTAGTAAGATTGGCAACTTTTCATATTTGGGGTATAGGCAGTGAGCCTGTAATTCGCAACTCTTACCCTCTACCAAACTGTTACGAGCTTAGGCTTCGTGGAAATAAAAACTGCCGATTGAATTACCAAAATTTGATACTTTAATTACCGAACACCAATTAAAACTTATAACGCATTAATAATTAATCACACTTAACACTTTAGTTCTCTATTTCGCTCCGAATTCTTCGCTTGAATTGCCAATTTAATACTGCCCCGGTCGCGCTCCTTACCGACTTTATATAGGACCTTTTCCACCAAAAACATCTAGAATGTTCGAGTAGAATGTTGAAAGTTCTAGCTAAGAATCCTCCAGAAAATCCCCGCCACTCGACACTAGATGGCACTAGTGGGAGTGTTCTGGAAACATCTTGACGCTCCAATTTCAGCTACTTGATACGAGATGGCGCTAATAATCACTCGCCATATACCGGGCATTTACAGCTATAGCAATAATACTATACACTCCACCATACGGAAAAAGGAGTGCTACCAATCCATCAAAACTAATTTTTATTTCATTTATCAAAATAAAACACTCAATAATCTCAAGTGTAGTTTTAATTATAGTCCGAGTTAAGAGTGCGATATATAGCAATAAACACCCTGCTATGTTGTGGCCCCGATAAGATCAGCTCAGTTGCGGCGAATGATCAACGGCCCTAGTGCACGCGGTCGGCTGGTCAAGGACCCGCAATGTTCTGGAAAAGTTGTTTAAGGCTTTTACATTGCTCAAATCGTGAAAAACGCCCAGGTTTACAAAAAGTTATAGCCGAATCCTTTTGTTTATTTGCTACAAAAAAATTATGTTTTATAGTTTAGATCGTCACAGTTCATTTGTATTGTTTAAAATTTAAGAATATTTGACCATTATTACAATAAAAAATCAAATACAAAGGCTGTTTTAAACCTATTTTGTATTTTTTCTCAAGAACGGCTCAACAGTTTAAGATTAAATTTATATTAAAATATTTGTTAAATCATAATAAAAAAAATGTATTGTTTTATTGTATTTTTGTTAAATATATTTCTTAAAATATAGTAAAACATAATTTGGACCCTTTTCGCCACCCGAAGCTCCCCCGCTATGGCCCGTTACGGATATTCACCAGTGTCAGTTTGACTCTTGCGACGGGTGGACTGTGCGCGCGTTATTTTCTAAAAAAAATATTAAAAAGTTCGCAATATTTCAAATTTATAAAAACAGATTTATTGTAAATAAAACGTACATAAGTAATATATGATAAAAAAAATAGGAATTAAGTTGATTTATGTTAGTAAAATTGTTTTTAGTTTTAGTTTTGTATATAATCGTATCAAAGAATAGACTAAGCTTGACAATGCCGAAATACAAAAGCAAGTCAAAAGTGAAGCGTGGCCAACCTCTTCAAAACTATTCGAAAACTGTCGTGTTCCCTTCTATTGTATAGGTGCGGAATTTCTTTAGCCATAAATAAGCTTGGTACTACAAAAACGCCCAGTGAAAAAGTGTAAAATAATATGAACGTGACCATTTTTGGCTGGTCTGATGCTACAGTCCTGAACTCAGTCTCAAGGTGGGTTAAGGATCTCAGTGACGGAACCACGTAGAACCATCGTGTTTGTACTCATTTGAAAGGGCTCGCAGCTAACTAGCTGGCCGTGATGATTTCACTTACCTGGTGCTGCACTCCGAAGTAGTCCGAAGGTGGGTACAGGACCTCAGTGCGGAACCACGTAGTACCATTGTTTTCGTACTCATTTTAAAGGGCTCGTGGCTACCTAGCTGGCTGTGATGATTTCATTTACCTGATGCTGCACTCCGAAGTAGTCTGAAGGTGGGTACGGGATCTCAGTGACGGAACCACGTAGAACTATCGTGTTTGTACTCATTTTAAAGGGCTCGCAGTTAACTAGCTGTCTGTGATAATTTCATTTACCTGATGCTGCACTCCGAAGTAGTCCGAAGGTGGGTACAGGATCTCAGTGACGGAACCACGTAGTACCATCGTTTTTGTGCTAATTTTAAAGGGCTCGCAGCTAACTAGCTGGCCGTGATGATTTAATTTACCTGATGCTGCACTCCGAAGTAGTCCGAAGGTGGGTACGGGATCTCAGTGACGGAACCACGTAGTACCATCGTGTTTGTACTCATTTTAAAGGGCTCGCAGTCACCTAGCTGTCTGTGATAATTTCATTTACCTGATGCTGCACTCCGAAGTAGTCCGAAGGTGGGTACAGGATCTCAGTGACGAAACCACGTAGTACCATCGTTTTTGTGCTCATTTTAAAGGGCTCGCAGCTAACTAGCTGGCCGTGATGATTTCATTTACCTGATGCTGCACTCCGAAGTAGTCCGAAGGTGGGTACAGGATCTCAGTGACGGAACCACGTAGTACCATTGTTTTTGTGCTCATTTAAAAGGGCTCGCAGCTAACTAGCTGGCCGTGATCATTTCATTTACCTGATGCTGCACTCCGAAGTAGTCCGAAGGTGGGTACAGGA